CTTTATTCATAATTGCCAAACTTGGATGCAACCAAGATGTCCTTCAGTAGGTGAACGGATAAAGTATGCTACATCCAGACACTGAAAGTTAGTCAGCACTAAAAAGAAATAAGCTATCAAACCGTGAAATGACTTTGAAGGAAACTTAAATGCATATTATTAAGTGAAAAAGACAATCTGAAAAGGCTGCATACTGTATGATCCCAACTTTATGACATTCTGAAAAAGGTAAAACTATAAAGACAGTGAAAAGATTAGTGGTTGCCAAAGGCTAGTGGGGAAAGATGAATAGGTGGAGAACAGAGGATTTTTCAGGGCAGTGAATTTTTGAGGGCAGTGAAAATACTCTTTCATGCCATAATGATGGATACATGTCATTATATGTTCATCCAAACCCAGTGTACAACAGCAAGAGTGAACAGTAGTGCAAACTGTGGACTTCAGGTTATTACAACAGTCAGTGTAAGTTCATCAATTATAACAAAAGTATCACACTGTGGGGGATGTTGACAATGGAGGAGGCTGCACATGTGTGAGGGATATATTGGAAGTCTTTGTACCTTTTGCTCAATTTTGCTGAAACCTGAAGGTATCCTAAAAAAAAAAAAAGACTCCTACATTTTTTAAAAAGAGGAGACAATGCACTCATAATTAAGGTCAATTCATTTGAGAATCTGTTCATGGGAGAAAAGGGAAGAAAATTTTATGTTACTCTTCAACCAGGAAAAGCCAAGGAGTCCCATTCTAAGTTAACTGCCGTAAGTGATCACATTTTTGTTTAAAGGAGAAGATGATCCTTTACAGATATTAATTCTGAATTGCCAGCCTGCCTGCAGATTTCTTTTCCAGCTCCTTCTGTTTTCTAGAACTTTGCTGTTTGGGGAGCCCTAAAGATTTCTAAAACACTGTCCATGGGCAGCCCTACCCAGATTCATTGGCAAGGGATGGGGAGTGGGTGCTGAATCTTATCTTGGACCAGTCACCCCCTCCTTCCCCACAAGGTCCTCAAAGGAGATAAATACAAATAGCAGACAGAGCAAGAAAAAGTGATGCTTTTTAAAAAAAAATTTATTGAAGTATAGTCAGTTTACAATGTTGTGTCAGTTTCTGGTGTACAGCACAATGCTTCAGTCATACATAAGTACACATATATTTGTTTTCATATTCTTTTTCACCATAAGCTACTACAATATATTGAATGTAGTTCTCTGTGCTATACAGTATAAGAAAAGTGATGCTTTTGATTTCCTCAGTGAGGAAGTGCCAGTCTGAGCCTCAGGGAAGTCTTCATCTGATACCCACCCAACATATCTAGCAGTGAACCTCAGAACCTGTCATTCCAATGAAAAGCCACACACCTCCAGTGCCAAAGGAAAGGGAACTTAGGAATGCTTAGAGCTGGATCCCTACTCCTCACTCCATCCTTCCCCAAACCCTCCCAGGTCTGCCTCTGCAGAGGAAGAGAGGACATCTAAAGAGATGAAAAGAAAAGGCTGATGCTACCCAAGCAGTTCCATGTGATTTTACCATTCCCACTGGAAGGAAATCAGTAAAGAGAGACACACACCATTCTATGCACTGTCCTAGAAGCCATCCAGGGGCCCCTAGAATTTCACCCAGTCATTAGTGGGGGTGCTGATCAAAGCAGATTAGCACATCCTCAACTTGAAGTAGACTAAAAGAGGGGAGTGAAGAAAGAAATGAAGATGACTTTCTTTTTCTAAAGGTCAGAATTTACCTCCTCTGTCATTTACACATTAATATGAATTAATTAATCATAGAAAGCTGGAAATAAACATACACTCGGAAAGGCTGAGAGGAAAGACTCTGTCCAGGGAGAGATGGGGAAAGTGTAGAGATTCTGCTGTGCTAAGACGTACAAAGCCCCAAAGCTGGTTGGTGTCAGGGGGAGGATTTCTATCAAGTCCCTTTAGATTTCAAAGATCACGCTCTTCCTACCACCTTGTGTAGCAAAAAAAAAAAAAAAAAAAAAGTTGTTTAAGGAAGGCTTGAATGCATCTCGACTACCTAAGCTCTTATCACACTAAGAACTTCTTGAATATAAATCCCTGTGTCTGGGTCCAACTTAATTCTTTTATGGTATCCATTCTTGAGAACCACCAAAAGAGAATGAATGCATCACTTTATTTGATTAAGATAAATTTGTTGAAATCAGCATGTTAGAGAAATTCTTGAAAGAGCTGTTTTCTAATCCTTCGTGCATATTTTCTCTCAAAACACAGGATTAAGAGATGGAATGCATCATTATACATTAGAATTCAGCACAGCATATTCCAAGTGCCTGTTAACAATACAAGTTGTTCTGTGATGCCAGCTGACACCTCAAAGAGATCTCAAGTGGCTACACTGAGTTCTCAAGATGCTGCCTGTCCTAGGTTTTTTGAGCCTCTAAACAAAGCAAACCATCCACACTATTAAAAAAGAAAAAGGTTCAAGACCTAGTATGTCATGTGATGCCAGCAGTGTGTACAGGATACAATAAAATGGGACCCCATGTCACTTATTTTCAAGAGAAGGAAGGACTAACATGGATGGTTATTGTGGGAAGGAGCCAATGTGCTGCCCTATTGTCAACTGGGGGATGTTTCCCAGAGTCCCCTCCCCTGCGGTTGTTCTGAATTGGCCACAAGTAACATCGTCCAAGATCCGGGAGGTGAAAGTAAAGCAGCTGCCATTACTCTCTGAAGGTGGTTGTTGGTTGGAGCTGATGAGAGACAGTTTGAAAAGGTCACTGTTAGAGGTCTAATCCCCTTTTGAGACAAGTTAGTACCATCCTCTTCTAACAAGTATTCAGGTTCCAAAATGCCATTTCAAAGGTGGCATAGACTGTTAAAAATCACACTGGCATAAGAGTCAGAAGCTTGTCCTAAGACAACTAATAATAATAATAAGCAGACATTTATTGTTTGCTATCTGCCATCCTTCTCTGTGCTTCACATTTAGTATCTCATTGGGTCTTCACAGTGATCCTGTGAGGTAGGTACTGTAATTGTCTTCATTTTACAGACGGGGAGACTGAGGCACTGAGAAGTTAAGTAACTTGCCCATGGTTGTGTATAGCTTACAAGGGGAAGGACCAGGAGATTAAGCTTCAGTGAACCCCTAAATTTCTTGTTGTGTGATCATGGTCCAGTCACTTCAACACAGTGAGTCTCATTTTTCTCATCTGTCAAGTGAGAGAATTGTACAGCCTGGCCTCTGAGGTCCCTTCCAGGCCAGCTGCTCTATTAGTCTCCTTCCCTCATATTAGAGAGTGATATTCACCCCAGCAAGATTTTAATGCCACTCATTTAAAATCCCTTCATCAAAAATCACCTTTTAGCTACCATCCCAGGAAACTCATTCCAAGTGATTTAATCTTGCCTTCATCTTTGTGTCTTTCCATAGAGTACCAAAATGCAGTGGAAGTCAATGAGAAAGTGTGATTCTATATACAAGGTTTTATTTGTTTGTTTTTCAGACAATCACCCAAAGTAAATGTCTAAATTTTCTTATAAACTTGGCATGCCTTTGCTCTTCCACATTCTGGTACATAATGAAATCCATAGAGTAACACCATTTCCTGTCACTAGGTACATGTTGCCTAACTTGTTTTTAGAAGCCAAAAGACTTGAAATATTCCTGATTTTCATCTTAATGCAAAGGAGGAATTGTGAAGCTGTGCTGAGAACAAGGAGTGAAAGGTCAGCTGACATTCCACGTTTCCCTTGGAAATACTGACAAGGCACACAACTTGAAAAATATTTGGAGTCTTTCAAGTTCAGCAGGTTTCACAACACATCCCTTCATTGGGCTCAAGGATAACAACTCTAGTGAATTCTTTTCCACACGTTAGTACAGACCATCAGAAGCTGTTTGCTTTCAGCTGGCAGGCTCGGCAGTGCACTTCCATCGTCCCACCCAAGGGCTCTATCAGCTTTCCAGTCCTACTTCCAACTCTGTTGATGGCCTCTGTATTCCACAGGGCAGGACACTGGTCCACTGCATTGATGATATCATGCTGTTTAGACCCGGGGAGTAGGAAGTAGCAGTTACCCCAGACAGTGTGGTATGACATATTCATGCCACAGAGTGGGAAATAAATCTGACAGAAATTCAGGTGTCTGCCACCCAGGTGAAATTCCCAGGGATTCAGTCATCTGAGTGTCAAGATACTCTTTCCAAGGTGAGGGGCAAGTTGCTACATATGGGCCCTCCTACCACTGAGAAATAGGCATAAATAGGCCAGTGGGTCTCTTTAAATTCTGTAGGATACATATGCCTTATATGGAAGCGCTACTCTAACCTCCATTCCAGATAACCGAAGGGCTGTCAGTTTTTCTGGATGTCCAGGCCACCATATAACCTACTGTGCCATTTGGACCATATGGTCCAGCAAACTCATTGGTGCCTGAAGTTTGTGGCAGATAAAGATGCTTTGAAACTGCCTCGGTAGGTGAATTACAGCATCTTTTTAGGACTTGGGAGTAAATCTGCACCATCCTCTGCAGTAACTATTCTCCTTTTGAGATACAGATTTGAACCTGCAAACTGAGCTCTAGACTTGACCGTGGCAACTCATGCCAAAGAACAAACTGACCCCTCCAAAAAATTCTCAGTCCTTACTGGCTGGAGTGGTTGATCCTGACCATCAGGGAGAAATGGGGGCAGGGAAGAGTATGTCTGGAACATTAGAGACCCTCTTAGGATGCCTCTTAGCCGTCTTGTGTTTAATAACATTAAATGGCAAACTACAACATCCAATACAAACAGGATTAGTAATGGCTCAGACCCTTCTGGAATGAAGGTTTGGTTTACCCTATCATGCAAGATTCTGATCAGCTGCACTGCTTGATGAGGGTAAAGAAAATATGAAATATAGCAGTCAAAGGGAGAAGTAATAAACACCAGCTGTGACCCCATGACCAGCTGTAGAAATGAGGGCTGTAGTATTTAGGGCTGTTTCCCCCTTGCTTTGATATGGACATACTTGTAATATATATTAACCAATACATCTTTATTTTTCTTTTCCCAATTTACCTACCATCTGACATGGAACGTATTAATAGCAGTTAGCTTTATATTTCAGTGTTTAAGTGAAAGGCTATCACAGTATAACTCAGCTAGAAGAGAATGAACATCATTCAATAAGGGACAAAGTTTACATACGATCTTCTGAGTAGCCTTTTTTGGGAAAAGGGTTTGCATTTTTCTGCTATATGAGGAATACCTACATTACGTTAATTGGACACATGATTTCACTATTATCTTTCTTTGAAAATTCAATGTAGATTTAAAAAAAAAACATGTATATGCATGCCAGGGTGACGAAGGGTGGATTTTGGTGGTTTGTGCTGTGTCATCTTGGTTAAACTTGGAGCTCTATTTCTCAGAATTACATATTGTGTGTGGTTCCAAGGTATAGTTGGCCAAAAGAGGAACTCATGAAATTTAAGAGGCAGAAGTGAGTCAACGGTCACTTTGGTCACTTTGTTGTTCAGTGTGGTGACAGATGGATACAGAGGTGTCCAATAGTTTCCAGCTGGAACTTACTCTCTTCTGTTGCATGTCCACCTCTTTGTCCCAACTCTGGGCCCTGCTGACCCTCCCCAGATGTTTGGCTGAGGACCCCCAACGTGGTAGCAGCTTCCCATAGATCTCATCATGTGTTCCCCCTTCCCAGCCCCTTCAGCAGCTCAATGTGTTTGGCTTCTCAGAATGACCAGTTGGTGATGCCTCCTCTGACCCTCCAACTTTCTGCATCTTCTCCCAAACTGTAGGGTCTATTTTTCCATAATAAATTCTTTTTCCCATAACACTTAGAATCACTTGAAGTCTGATAGATACAGATGAAATTAGAAACATCATGTGCAACTTCTATAAAGTATCCATAAAGGGAAGAGACTTTCATTTTTTTATCCATTCCTTCTTCCTGCTGCTTTGAATGCAAAGGTGATGGCTGGGGCTCTAGTAGTAGCTCTTGGACCATGAGGGAGTAGTCATGTTCTATGGATGGAAGAATATAATAGCAGGCAAAGAAGCCTAAGTTAATGATTGTTGACCCACAACTTTTGGCTTTTGTTTACATGGAAAAAAAATACATTTCTGTTTGGGCACCTCTAATGTCAGGAGTTTTTTCCCAAATTCCTAATTTATCCCCCCCA